TAGAAAACTTTACTATTCTTTCATTCCCTTACCATTAAACTGCCGCTACCTCTTGGTTTGTCCTCCTCTCGTCCACCTATATAATGTGGGTTTAGCTACTTGGATCTGAAAGATACTTGGCTAATAATTTTGCCTGCCACAGCATTGAACTGGACAGATTTTGAACCATATGTCATTGCATTAGCAGACTTGTGCCACAAATTCCAACATATTTTAACTGGATTAAGATGAGTAGGAAGGGGAGAAAAAGCTGAGATTTATCCTCCATCTCCGTAATGTTCCAGACTTCCATATGGAGCAGTACAATAATATCCTGAAAAAACATAGCTTTTAAGAGTTCTGTTAAAATTGTATCTACAACAATTAGGGAAGTGTGCCCACTGCTGGAAAAATGCAAAGATGCTTCATTTCTTATATAATACTTTTTTGGGGGTCACATTTTATCTTTTTAATGTATATATGTATGTAGATGTTAAGAACTGGAGTACAAAGAGCCCCTAATTTTGTAAAGCTCGATATCTTTATAAAATATCTCCACTTGAAATTCACTTAAATTTGAAAGCCTGTTGAAACTCATGAGGGCACTTAGAAACTGGGTAAAGCAATATGAAAGCCACTAGCAATTATTCTGGAAAGCTCATGGAGAACAAGTGGAGTTGTGAAAGAAAAAGGAATAAGAATGACTCTGAAAAGGGAGAAAAGAAGAGGATGTGAGAGTCACAGCTGGTCAGCTTAACATCCGCACCTATAAAAAATATACAATCCGTAAGCATCAGGAAGATAATAAAGTACTGAGAAGCAGCTCCACACAAATCAGTCAGAAGCAATCTGCTCTGTCCAGAGCAGCAAGTCTAGTGAATAGGGACAAAGAGTTCATATCCTGTCCCGACTGTAGTAAGGCTTTTGCTACCGTATCAGATTGATATTCTCATAAATCACCTGGGGAAATATGGACAGATTAAAATGCCTGGGAAATGAAAAACTGCTTGGACATGATAGTCAGAAAGGAGTTCGCTGTTGTTCACCATCAAAAGGGAAAGATACAGTGGGATAATTAGGGATTTGTGACCAATAGTATTTAATGTTTTCATTGTTTTCATTGACTTGGATGGCAATACCAGTGTATTGGTATGTACCGGTATGTATACCACACAGACAGGATTAGCAAGGATGGTGATCTTGAGGTTTTTTAGATCTTGTGGTCTAAGTCAAATAGCAGGTAATTCAGTGAAAATAAATGCAGCATTCTACCCTTAATTAAAAATAATTATCTCCACAAATATGGGATGATGCTCAACCTAAGTAGCCGTGCTACGGAAAAGAGTCTGGAAATCCCCTGATGAACAGGAGTTTCCAGTCTTACCTTGTTGCAAAAAAGCTACACACTGTGTAAAGATGTGGGAAGAAAAATATCTTGTGAAAGATACATGAAATAATGGAAATAATCTTTCCATTCTATTTATCTGTTACCTCCCAGATCGAGTAGTGCATCCAGTTTGGAACACCACTCTCCAAGAAACTTATTGGAAAGGAAAGCAATGGGAACCATATGAACTCAAGAAAATATGACCTACAGGGAAAAACTAAAAGAATGGAGGTTGATTCAGCTGAAGATTGAAGGGACACACAATATAGCAGTCATCAACTGCATAGCAACGAAGATGAAAGAAATAGACTGCGAATAGATGTGAAGTAATAGCCTTAAACTCATCAAGAAAGATTTAAGCTAATTATTGGAAAACTTTGCAAGTGGAACAGATTGCTGGGGGTGGGAAGATGGAAGATTGTTATGAAACCTCCACCACAGAAGGTTTTTAAGAGCACGTTAGACAAGTACCTGTCAAGTTTAGCTATAGTTGGCCATTGCTTGGGATAAGGAATGAATTTGTGGAGTGTTTTAGTCCTATTTTCTATTATTAATCTCTGCTCTTTCCTTACTAATAAAAGTAAGCATCAATTATTCTTTATTCTTCACTGTTGTAAAATTTTTTATGTCTATTTTCAGAACAGGAGAGAATCAACTCACCTAAGTTTACTTAGAATTGCTAGAACTGGCCCACCATTTAGTACTCGCCAGTAATGTTACAGTAATTTTTGTTCATTTTCTGTCATTCTGTCATTACTGCTCATTTAAGTTGATCCACCTCAGTATGAATATGACTGGAATTATCTCTCTCTCAGTGACAACTTAGTGTTGCTGTGCACACATAAAGATCCAGGCAAACCCCAGCTTCCACTTACTGCCTGGAGCTGGCTGTCCTGTAAGCTCCTGCTTTTCTTGTAAGAAACATACCACCAATTAGTGCTTATTGGTAGGCATGACCTTGAAAGAGTGCAAGTTTGCATTCTCGCAGTTTTCAGACTACGAGATTGTCCTCTGGGCAGTTACCTTCAACTCTCTTGCTCAGAAAAGCAATATAATTCCCCTTTTTCGCTATATGCAAGACTATTGCCTTTATACCTCCCCCCACACCATTGTCTTTCAGAATCAAATAATACATCATACACATACATACTAGTACTTTTATAAACTCAACTCTGAACACTGAAGGAAATGGAGGTTTGCTACCATTTATGCTGCTTCTTGAGAAATAAAACATAAAGTCTACTAGTTGCTGCCAAACCCTCTTTAATACAACGCTGATAATTTCAGAATTTGTGTCTAGTTCCGTGTACCAAACGATTCACTTATTTTTATTGTCTAAGATACGTGCAGCTTCAATATCTCTTCAAGACAATAGCATTTTCTTGATAACCTCCAGCAACTATTCAAAAACACGTCCACCTCTCACCAAGTTATAAGCTTTAAGAATCATTATTAATCTGAATGTAGAAAACATTTTATAAGGATGATGTTCTCCAGTTGATGCATGCTCTGACAGTTCCAATCGCATAACGGCTTTAGCAAACTAAGGGTGTTCTCTAATTTTAAATGAATGAAAATCAATATATATTTCTCTGGGTTTAATGTGTATAACGGTTATATTCTCACAAGCATTTTGTCAGCTATTGCTCTGGGTAGGTCTGAAAGAATTCCTAATGTAAGATAAACTCTAGAATGCTTCCTAGGAAAACTGGTTTCATTTCACTCATCACACTGTTCCAGACAGAATTGTCCTCATCAGCATGAGGTAGGCCAGTGACACTTGTACGTATTTGTTTTCCTTGCATATGATGCGTTAATAGTTTATCACTCCACTAATCTGTAGCAATAGCTATTACGAGATACGTGATTCGACCACCGCAGTGAATCATCTAAACACTCCTCCAAAAAAAAACCTGAGGCCAAATGTTAAGGCATAACTTCTGCTACTCCAAACACTACTATCAGTTAAGTAGATTAGATGAATCCATCTGAGGTATAATATAATTTTTAAAAAGTGACCAGCTGCTGCCAACAGGACCAGCTACAGCATGCTATGGGATCCTGTTCATGCACTGAGTGTGCTCCACAAGGACAGGCAACAAAAGGGAGCTCTGACGGGGTTTTCATCTCTTAGGATTTCACTCACATCTTTCTGAGGCATCCTCTCTTCACCAGTTGAAATCCCTCTGGAGCTGTCTGTAGTCTGCCCTAATGCTTTCCACTTACCTCTCTCAGTTACAGCTTTGTTGCAATAATGTTATATCAGTCAGGATATAAGCAAAAGAGGGTTGCAGGGTCACTTGGTACAGCTAAAGAAAGAAAAAGAAAAAAAAAACAACTAACCAAATAAAAACACTAGCCTAGCTTTGAGTCACAGATTTATATTATCACCCTAAAGCTGTTTTCTACATTCCTCTGTATCTCATCCAAAGACATTTTAAATATTCTGCCTAACCTAGGTAGCTCTTGAGCTCCTGATATAACATTTCTTTTCTTCTCATTTCTTTTTTACCTCATTTTAAATGTCTCTTATTTCCTCCCTGGCTCATCTCAGCATCCACAGTACTTTTTTATACTGCCTTTTCATCAGCACTTGGACTTCTTCACTGCCTCAAAGACTGATGAGAATATGATAAGCACCTTTTCATAGGTACAGCAATACTGACACAACCACTAATTAGGTATTTCATTAATTTTTAGCTATGTATTTACGTGTCTATCATATCTACTTTTGCTTGTCTTCACTTTTCGGAAATGGTTATCACTCTTGTGTGGTAACCAGAATGCACTCTGTTCTGCCAAATCACTTGAAATAACAGATAAAACACTAATAATAAATACTCATTCCTTGAAATTGCCCTGTATATATCTATTTTGAAAATCACTTATTAAATCTGGTGATAACAGCCCTAAAGATACATACTATGCAACTAGATCAGGTTAACTGCACTGCTGTCTTCATTGTCCTAAGATTAATTCTATATTTTCCCATATTGGAAAATGGTTTTCAAAAGCCTGGGAGACAGAACTGAAACCATTTTTTTCTGGGATATCTTTCACGTTAGTCTAAAAGGGAAGGAGAAATTGAAGAAAAGTAGATTCACTATTTCTTTAACAACAAAAGGAGGTATTTTGGAGTGTGGTTATTTTCCAGAAGGCAAACCTTGTGAAAATAATTTCAGGGTCACACAGTATTTTATGGACCTAGAGGGAATGCTGAGAAGAGAAATCTTCGTCATTCTTAACAGATAAAAGACTATAAAAATCATATTATACATTCACTAGTTATCTTTAATTGAGAATCCACTTACCGGAGCTAGTGAAGAGCAGAAGCAGAACTCAACAATATGATGTGCTGATCGTCTAGGTAATACAGTTAAAACTTTCTGAAAACAGAAGTACCATGAGTAAGTGGGAAACTCATTGACAACAACAAATCCATTGCATTGTACCCTGAATTTATATGATTTTGACTCTAACCAAGATTTTCCTGATGAGCCAGAGTGATTTGCCTATTGGACCTTTCTTTCTGCTGCCAGTTTGGGCGTGAGCTGAGAAGTACAGCCATTATTTTTTCTAGTTCTTTGTTCTCTATGGTGCCTTCTCTTGCTTAACTGCACATTTCATTTTGTAGGTGTGAAGAAAAGCCAGAACATACACAGCACTCTGAGAGGTAAAATTTATGACAAAATTTGTATATATTTTACTATGATACTATGAAGATGCATTTGTTTATTTAAATATATATGGTACTCTTCCCAAGCTTTAGGAGGTATACAATAATTACAAGTCTGAATATAAATATATATGAAAAAATAGAAAAGAGATACTTATCTAGGGCTGTACATTCTACAGCAATCACTCTGGGAAAACCATAAAAATAACTCCTTCCAATTATCAGACTCACATAGGCTCCTATATTTACACTGAAACAAGAGATAGAGAATATTTCCTCCATGATTTCTGTTATAGTGCTTAACTTAATCAGATGCCATAATCCTGTCCTGGACAGTGTATCAGAAGTACTCAGAAAGACCTTCAGGGTCACACTACATCTGCTCAGATTTCTTGATCTCTCAGCATTAGGTTTCTAGGTAGGAATTCTGTCAACAGATTAGGACTTCTATAGCTTTAAAATAACAAAAAAGAGCCCAGAAGCAGACACTGAAGAGTGACTGAAACCCTCTGTGCGTCAGTACCTAAGCAGATCTCTTGCTTTCTTTCTCTCTCATTCTGGCTCTTCTGCATGGAATAATAAAGGTGGCATTTGATATATGATCAGACACACTGAGAAGACCTTTGCCTTCTTGAATAGGGATCTCTTTTGGATGCAAAGCCTTCTATACTCTATGGTAAACAGAAAGCTGAATCCCCGGCTAACGATGGAAATGAGGCATTTAGCAGCAACGTTTCACAAACTGGACATGGTGGTCCAGCCACTGACACAGTAGATAGATAAAATAGAAGTGGTGCTGGCACTTCTTCTTGCTTTTATGTGGATGCCACACTGCTAGGTGCTCTCCGAGAACATCAACCAGGTCAGGCTATGAAGGTGGGGTAAGCAGAGGAACACTATATGTTTTAATTTTAACAGAGGTCAAATATGACCTGAACCTGTTACGGTTGAGACATAGCTGGGCTTGCCCAGAAGAACCACCTTTAGCACTTGATGAGCTTTACCAGCAAAAGGTGATGCACCTTCAGGACTAAATATATATTTCAAGGCTTTAAATGTTTACCATTAATACCTAACAACAGAGTTCAAGAATCTAAATCATTTTATGGATGTCATCTTCTGATATAGACTCAGTTTTTAGAAATAAGTTTCTCAGTGCCTATGTCACAATTGGAAAATGTGTTTGAGCCATCTGAATGATTTAGGCCTCAGAAAACAGAAGGCAAAAATAATTTTACAGCAGCTGGACTCTAATGTCTGTGCATAACTTTAATCTCCCTGTAGCAGACTACAGCCATCTCCCTGTAGCAAACTGTGCCACTTCCTTGGCACAGAGGAACACTGGGAGGATACTGAGTTTGCAAAATGCTCAGTAAGGAAAGCTATGAAAATGTCTTAGATTGCTAAAATATCCTCTCTTTTTTTATAATAAATCTTGAAAAAAGTGAGTGTTCTTTATGTTGTAATTCATGACAATTAACCTAGATACAGGGTGTGTTTCCAGTTGTAAGGAAATGTAACATTCCTTCAAAGGGGTGTCAAAAGCAATCATAAGCTAATGAGATTTTACATGAACCACCTGCTGGTTGCTTTCAATTAGATAAAACACCTTTAGCAGAAGTGAGGAAATCATTTTCATTATTTGCAAATGAGTTACACAACACAAAGCAGTAACAGGAAAAGAAATGAGAAACTAATAGAACAGTGTGAGCTGTTCCCAGCTATACTCCCATTCCTATAATTTCTCATCAAAAAAAAAAAAAAAATTATCGAATGTCCAAAGAAGCTAGGGAAAAGACATAGAGGAAAGCTTCAAGTCCACTAGTAACCCTAGAAAAATATTACAATAAATTGCTCTGGGTCAGATCAAGTGTTTTGTTCCATTCAGAAGGAAAAAATTTGTTTTAATTTCCAATGGTTAATTACTTTAGGTAGAAAAATAGAGGAAATAATATATACATATATATATATATATATGTATATATTATTTCCTCTATTTTTCTACCTAAAGTAATATATATATATTTCAGTGATTTGGGAGTTTGGAATCTGTTAGGAAGAGTGGGATGATTGAAAAGAAATTGAACTTTGGATAAAACTAAGTTTAAAGTAAGGCTGAAGTAAATCGTAAGGTGCCATACCTAACACAGAGCCTTTATACTGGGGCAGGAGGGGGAAGGAGGAATACTTTCCTTCTCCTTTTATGTTTATTTTATAGATCTTTCACACTTTCAATTTCCAAAAAAAAATGAGACAGCATAGGACTAAAGGGCTTACCCTCATTACCTTTCCACCTACCTCATACCAGTGTATAAGGGACACTGACGACAGATTTTGTGACATTAGCATGCTATTGATATGGATGTAAGACTTTCAGATCAGCAGGCAATCT